CATTTCAAAAAATAAAAAATTAAGGAAACTTTTTCTAAAATAAAGGGAGTACATTGACAGAATTAATTATTATTATTTTTTATATGCAAAATTTGTTCCTAAATTGGAACCAAAAAAACTCACAAACTAACAAGAAACTGTGAACAAATAATACATTCAAAATTACACAAAACATAGATATTCAGCTCATTCCAAAAAGAAATTACATAAATAAAAATAAATATATTATATATTCAAGTGTTTCAAGTACCCGACAACTCCCGATCAGTGCATGGTGAGATCAAATTTACGGAGAAGGGTGTCGATATTGGCGAGAATTGCTAAGCTGTTGCTCATGTACTCCTTGGACTTTTGCACCTTACTCCTCACCTCATCAAGGACCGTCGACCCATCTCCTCCAACCCATCCAGGCAAGTCTCCTCATCAGTCATCGCCGCACTAATCCACTTCTACATGTCGTTGATCTTCGCCTCCGTCAATCCCACACCCATCGACGCCGCCGATCTTTTGAGTTGACTCAGCGAGTCACCGAACAGATCCACACAGTCACGCAACGCTGACTCAGTCCCAGGATCGTTCTATTTGGGGATTAGGGTTTTGGACAGGTGGGTGAGTTCGTTGACGGTGATATATCTTTTCCAAATTGGAATCAAAGTATTCAAAAAATAATTTCCCAAAAACTTGAATTTTTAAAAAATTGAAAAAATTTCTCTAGAAAAATTAATTTTAAATAATGCTTCTTCTTTACTTCTTTACTTTTCATCTTTTCTGTCTTTCCTTTCTCGTCAATTTTCCACCCCTATTTATGTCGGTTGCATTTTTCTTATTTTTTAGATTATATTTTCCTTAATAAATATATTAAGACTAATATTAAAAAAATTAAATTACAATTAATTTATAAGTTTAAAATTTAATTGCAAGTTCTATTTTGGTTCCCCAAATCAAAATTCCGTGCTCCCCCACAACTTCAACTAACTAATTAATGAATATGGGTCAAGTAAAATATTTTTGAAATATGTATACGATGCATATCATACCATACACATGCAAAAAATACCTCTCAAGTTTTAATTTGGTGCAATTAAATCTCCTAACATATTTAAAATCTAAACTGACCAAATTACCCTTATTGAATAATTTTATAAAATATATAAAAATAGATTTTTTTTGTAAAAGGACCAAAAAGGACATTTCTTTATTATTATTATTTTTTAATGATTCTATCATTTCTCTCTCTATAATTCATCTTTAACAACTACTACATCTTCTCTCTCCTTTATCCGAAAAATAATCCTTCCTCCATGTATCTGTCAAGTCTCAATAAAAGCCACTGCTCTGCAAATGAATCTCACCCAAATAATACCCATAATGCCTCATTTATTTGGCTCTCCATGGTCATTAACAAAAGGCTAGCATAATCCAAATGCTTTTGATAATTTTAGTTTCAGTTTGCCATCTTGGTGTCCAATGCAATGAGAAAAAAAAAAAAATTATCCTTTTCTAGAAACGGATCCTCCCGCTGCTGAGATCAAACTAGGAACCCGAAGGAATGCTCCGGGCTAGATTACTGAGACACTCCTATCACAAAATCTACGTCTTCATCCATCTCATATCGTACCATCCTTGGCTTAAAAGTAAGTGTTAAGTTACCAATTGGATGAAACTTTCTCAATCGGGCTAGCCCCGAATAAGCAAGCGACCTCAACAGATATCTGCTTTCCCTTCCCCTAGAGGCCAAGTCAATCTATTAGTAAGGGGGTTCGGAAGGGGTAAGCCCTCTCTCAAATTGGGAAGCCCTCTCTCAAATTGGGAAGCCCTCTCTGTGATCCACTATAAAAAAATTCTCTGAAAAAATCATCTCCAAATCAGTTACTAGGGTTGAGAAATATGGCTAAGAAAAGGGTAGAAGCAGAGGTTTCCATCTCCTTTCACCGATTTCCATCGGCCATCAAAAAAACTCCCAACAAGTTATCTGCCAAATTTTCGGGTCTTTAGTGGTCGACCCGTCATTGTCTCCTTTGGCCAGATATTCAAGCAGAATAGAGAGAGAAAGCGGTGTTTGTTGATAAAGATGATTGTATGGGTATTTTGGGAAGAATAAAAGAGCAAAATGAGTATTATAATATTAATTTATGTCAGATTTATCACAGAGGGGTAATTTTGCACAATATCAAAAGATTAGGGGTATTTATTTCATACTTTTTCAAATAGGGAGTAAACATGCTACGAAAAGTATAGTTCAGGAGTGTTTTCTGCACTTACCCCTAATTAATATTGTTCCGTCCTCTCCCTCCATTCTTTTTACACTTGTGATCAGTACTTTGATAAATTTGATTATGTTCAATGTCCAAATTTTTTATGACTCAAACGGTTACAAATTAATTAATATTTGTGGGATAAAGAAGTGTTCACATTAATTATATACTATTTTTTATTTATTTTTGATTGGGGAGGGAGTTGTTAGTAACATTTAATAAATTAATACCTTTTAACATGTGGAGTGTGAAAATATTTCAAGGACCTTTTTACTTGGGTCCTAATTCGTGAATGTGAAGTTTCTTATAAGTATAGCAGTGTTGGCAGGGATTTGAGAGATAAGTCCTTGAGGTATAGCATCGTTGGAAGGAAGCTTGTTGGTTTTTTTAGTCCAATATGTGTGAATGTGAGCTTTGAAGTTTTGTACCTTTTCTTTCTTTAAAGACTTGACTTTGACATTATATTTTGGGCGTGAATCCTCTTATGTGATTATCCCTGTAGTCCCTTGTCTCATGGCCTTGATTTGGCCACGTATTTCTTCATAAAACAACTCATCAGACCTCGTTTGGCAATTACACCCAAATTTATAAGTGACATTTCACCACCATTTATAAGTAACATCGTCATTTGTAAGAGGATAATATCAGCACTTAAAAAGTAAAGGTTGTTAATAACCAAATACCTCATAATCTCCTTCAAAACCCTCTTTAAATTAACATGTGACTATTTTTTTTAAATGTTTTATTTTTTATGATAAAATTTAACTTAAAAAATATATAAATAATATGTTGAATTGAGTTAGATTTATGTGTGACTATTAATTTTTCAGTACTATGTGAATACCTTTTTTTATGGTAAATGTGGTGAGTGTGACAATTAATATTAAATTTTGTCAAATTTTTTTCAAAGATATATTAAATAATTTATACCTAAGTGTATGTTTTTTTTTTTTTTTTTTTTTTTTTTTTTTTTTTTTTTTTTGGAAGAAAAAAAAAAAAGTGTCTCTTTTCATTATTTTTTGAAACATCTAGTTTTTGTTTATTGTCTAAAGTTAATCCAATTGATTTTAATTTTAGTTTAAATTCTTTAAATTAACATGTTAAAGTGTTTTTAAAATACTTCAATTTCAAATAATAACATAAATGATATGTTGAATTGAGTTACGTTTATATATGATATTACTTAGTCTGCATTATGTGCAAATTTTATTTTGAGGGTCAAAATGGTTTTTACTTTATGAGATTCTTGGTTGTCAACAACTTTTATTTTAAGTGGTGATGTTACCCTCTTATAAATGGTGATGTTACTTTTTAGATCCTTATAATGTTATTTATAAATAGTAGTATAATTGTCAAATATGGTCTCAATGCTTGTTTTATGAAGAAATATATGGCCAAACCAAGGCCACAAGGCAGGAAACAGCATGACATTGGAGGGATAATCACATCAAGGGATTCACGCCCTTATATATTGTATTATAGAAGTAGAATATTTTTCTTCTTTAAAGACTTGACAATAATACCTTCTGCAGCAGCCGTGCGTTTTGGTTTGTCAAGTAAAACGCAGCATATCGTCTTCCGACCCATTGGTATCGTTTGTTTTTGTCTTTATTAAATAAAAACTATCTGTCAGTTATTTATTAATTTGTCGTATTGCTGCATCACATTACCTTCATTCTTCAAGCAACGCAAAAATTAAAAATTAAAAATAATAAATAAATACAAATTATAGTAACTTCTATCCATTATTTTCTTTTTTAAAAAATACTTAATAAAAAAAGAATAAAAGGTTTTTGTAAATTTCATTTTAATAATTATTAAGCCATGGCAATACTGTTTGTTGTTTGTTGTTATGTATTATTTGGGAGCATCTAATTGTTGTCTTGGATTTGAAAGTAATGAAAATTTAATTTTAAGTGGAAACTAAATTTCCTCCTATTTTAAATTGAACCACCATAGCTTTAATGAAGTTCACCTAGGAAAAAAAAAAATTATTAGCTTATTATCCTATGGTCATCTTTATTATTATTATTATTATCATTATTCAACATATGATATAATCATCTTGATCAAAGAAGACCCCGGGTAGAGGGCAGGTAAGGCTTAATTGGTCAAGCACCACATATATATACGCACATGCGCGTACTGCAGTTCAATACTGTTTATTGTTAGTTTAAAATAGTGTTTGGGAGCAAATTGGTGTTTTGAATTTAAAAGTAATAAAAATTTAATTTAAAGTGATAATTAAATTTCCTCTAATTTCAAATTGATCAAACAAATTTTTAATGAATTCACTAAAGAAAAAGAAAAAAAATTATTAGCTTATTATCCTATAATCATCTTCTTCCTTTTTTTTTTTATATATTTTTTTCAGCGTATGGTATGCTCATCTTGATAAAAGAAGACTCTGACGTAGAGGGCAGGTAAGGCTTAAATAGTCAAGCCACCATTCACCAGTCATGCCATGTTAATCACCTTTTTTTTTTTTTTTCGAAAGATGAAGATAATATTATAAATGAAAAGTACTGTACATAGAAGGCCTTTGGCCAAAACAAGCCCAAACAGAGGGGAACAAGGGGAAACAAGCCCAAACAAGAAATTACAAATTCCACGACCCAAAGCCCATATTATGAAGGCATCCAACTATAACTGACAAGGAGCCGTTAACGATGGAAGCAGACGAAGGTCCGGTGAACAAGCCATGACGGCAGACGAAGCCAATTGGAGCCAATTGGCTTTGAAGAATCAGTCCGGCGGTCGAGGTGGAGGACGACAGCAAGAGGGAGGGAGGTCCCAATCTTTAAGGATGTGATGCGCAACAATGGAGCTCCTGAAGATCCCCAATTTCAAAATCGATGTGATGCTATTGGAAACCCTCGATTGAATGGTATTTTGGGATGACCTTTTCCCACAGAAGATACGAGCGTTTCTCTCCTCCCATATGTGGTACACCAGAGCTGCAAGGGAAAGCTTTCTGAGAAGATTCAATGGGGATGGAGAGGACCACCGATAACTGAATGTTGAAATAAGCTCTGGCCATGGTGGGGTTGCAGTGGTGATCCTACATTTTGCCATATAGAATGACCAAATTAGAGATGTAAAATCACAAGAAAAGAACAAGTGTGAGTGTGATTCTGGGCTGGCATTGCAGAGAAAGCAAACATTGTTATGTGTTGCCATTTGTCTCCTATCCAGAGTGGGGAGACGATCTTGGATAGCAAGCCACAAATTAAATTTCATTCTGGGGATGGCTGGAGAACGCCAAACCAAATCAAACCATGGCACCAATGGATAGGGGGGAAATAAGGATGCTGCAGTATGCTTGAGGCTGAATTCTCCAGATGGGGAAGCTGTCCAAATCAATTTGTCATCCTTCATAGAAGGTGAGGGCAATGTGGGAAGTTCAGGGATTGCCACTGAAAGCACAGGTGGGAAATTCCATGAATCGTTGTAGATAAGATGACTGACAGTAGTTGAGAGATCCAAACCTGCTTCAATGAGGATATTTGGAGGGAATCTCAGGCTTAGTGGACCTGCAGGCAACCAATTATCAAGCCATAAATTTATGGAAGTGCCTTTGCCAATCTTATGCTTGATTAATTGTCTAGCATGGTGTCTTTGTTGAAGGATCTTCCTCCAGCTCCAGGAACAGGATTGTGGAATCTCCAAAGCCCAAAAATTCTTGCCTTTGATGAGGTATGTTTTACACCATTTGATCCAAACTCTTTCAGTGTTATCAGTTAATAGATCCCAAATGTATCTTGTAATGGCAGCTTGATTAGAAGTAACCAAATTTGGGATGTCTAAACCATCTGCTTCCTTAGACCTGTAAATTGTCATCCATGCAATCTTAGCCTTTGTTGATTTCATTTCAATTCCAGACCATAGGAAGGCCATGAAGATTCTATTGAGCTCATCTATAACCCCTTTTGGAAGGATAAAAATGCTTGACCAGTATACTTGAGTGGATACCAACATTGATTTGATCAGTTGTAATCTTCCAGCATAAGAGAGAGATCTTGAGGACCAGTGAGTGATCCTGTGGGTGATCCTTTCAATAAGGGGTCTACAATCTGCTGCTTTTAGGCTTGTTGAAATTAAAAGGACACCCAGATGCCTAATAGGGAGAGATCCAGTTCCAATGCCTAGCATATTAGAGATTTCAATCTCTGTGTAGGGATCAACCCCTGAGAAGAAGATTGAGCTTTTGGAGAGATTAATAGATAGACCTGATATAGTGCAGAAGTGGTCTAGGGCACATTTTAGGATAGAGACTGATGTAATGTCACCATGACAAAAGAGGAAAAGATCATCAGCAAAGGAGAGGTGAGTGATTCCCAACTCCTTACACCTCCAGTGGTATTTGAATCTTGGAGCTCTAGAAATGATATTCTGCACAATTGAGGTGAAAGCATGTATAATAATGACAAATAGAAATGGGAAATTGGATCACCTTGCCTTAGACCCCTTTTTCCTTTGAAAAAACCTTTGAAAAAACCTTTGAATTCTCCATTGACAGCAATAGTGAATGATGGAGAGGTTATGCATGCCTGTATTAGCTTGATAAATGACTGTGGGAAGTTGAGGTGAGAGAGACAATCCAATGTAAAATCCCATTTTACTGAATCAAAGGCCTTCATTAGGTTTATTTTGATGGCACACCTTGGTGGAGAAGCATCTCTATGGTAACCCCTTAACAGTTCATGGGTGAGGAGGATTGAATCACTGATTTTTCTGCCTTGAACAAAGGCTGTTTGAGTATAATCAATGATATGGGGGAATGTCAGTTGTTGTAATACCCCTAATTTTAAAAGGATAGTCCTGACATTTATTTAATTGTTTAATCTTTTATTTAATTGTTTAATTGCGTGTTGGCATTTATTTAATTGTTTAATTTTTTATTTAAATTGTTAATTGCGTGTTATTCTCTTAATTGGTTATTTTAATTGTGTGTTCTTCCATGGTTATTTAAATTTGTTTTTTTTTTTTTTTGTTTTAATTAATTGATTAAATTGTTTGGTTTTCTTTTATTAAATTATTTTAAATTAAATTGTTTTATGGTGTTTTATTTGACTTAATTAATAATTGGTTTTATTTAATTAAATTGGTTTAAATTAGGATTGTGTTTTCTGTTTATTCACGTATTAGCCGACACAGGTTTTAATTAACTTCTATGGGCCGGTTAGGATTTAGTTAGGGCTTTAATTAATTTAGGGTTTTGGTATAACTCTATAAATATATGGGTATACGTCTGCCGAGGGTTTCTGAAAACCCTATTCACCATATTCAGGTATACAGTGATACAGAGAGTTGTGAGGGCAGAGTAACAGAGAGGGAGTTTACGTATGTAACAGAGAGAAAGATTTAAGGGAAACACATAGTGAACTTGGGTGATTAGCAAAGCAACTCAAGGAGGAAGGAGCGTGGTAGTGGGGAACTACAGTGTAGGACACAAACATATCACACAGAGACGGTGAATTAGAATTTCAAATCTGAAATTCAAAGGCAAGTCTCTGTTCTTTCTCTATCCCTTTAATCTGTGTTCTGTGTATGCTTAGGAAGACTCCAGGGATTAAACTAAGTTTTAATTATATCTTTTAAACATGTTTAATCAGAATATTGAAGCATTGAATAAATCCAGTTTCAATTGTTTTAACAGTTCAGTGTTGAACCTTATTATCGTTGCTTTAAAAGTTGATGCTTAATTAAATTCTAAGTTGTAGAATTCTACCTTGTGATCAATCTGGGATGAGGATGAAACCTTAATACATGTAATATAACTGTATTAAATGTCTGGAAACCACCGGGGTCGGAGAAGACAAGCAATACAGGGGAAACGGCTCTTAAGGGTGTGAGAGACGGCTCTCAAAAGGAGGGAGCCGCCTCCCACAAAGCTAGAGCCGGCTCTCTAGGGTTGAGAGTCGGCTCTCAACAGCCTAGAGCCGGCTCCCAAAGGTGGGGAGCCGGCTCCCCTTGAATGGAGACGGCTCTACAAGTTTCAGAGCCTTCTCTCTCTTTTGTTTTTGCGCGTACTGTTTGGCTGAGACTGAGTTTCTGAAACTGTTTCAAGGCTACTGAATGATGTAATACACTGCTTAAGACTTATATATGAATTGAGAAGCAAACTTATATCCAAGTATTTGGGATGGAATTTGCCTAGGCTTTAAAATAAACCTGTATGGGGTAAGGTTTGACATAAATTGGTAATTACTCAACGTTTTAGTAAGTTGGTTTCTCTGCATGTCTTGGAGTTGTAAATCATGTTTTCCAGCTGTGTTATAAGCATACTGTTGTTTAATAATATGCATGCTTAGTGGGAATTAACTGATGATTAAATTTGTTATAAATTGTATCTACTATGACACTGTTCGGAGGAGTTGAGTGTATAGTTTCATTTTACCATATTAGTAGACGGTAATTGGGATTCAAATTCTTATATTGGATACATAATTTAGTTATACACATGCTAAACTATAATTATGCAAATTTTGGAGTATGGTTGATTAGTATCTGATACTGTTTTCATCAACTGTGTTATCTGGAGGAGCTAAATGTACAGTCTTTTCATTTATAACAAGAACTGTAATGGGATATCTAAATGTTATATTGGATGCATATATTGGTTGAGTACATGCTAAACTATATTTATGCTTATTCTGGGATGTGGTTAATAAGTAATTATACTGTGTTATTAACTACGGAAACTGGAGGATGGTATGCGCCGGTATGGGACGGTGTCATACTAGGTACGGATTAGTTCAGACACTAAGCCCTACCTAAATTTAGATTAAGGTATGGAATAATCATAAAGATTAAGTCCATCACCAACATATGTCATATCAATTGTGAATTGAATGATCCACTATGGTTTCAGGACGGATTTGTTATACATATATCAGACCACTACACAGATGGATGGTATTATGGATTAGGAGGAGTATGGACTTTATATATATATTATATGGTGCCGTGGTATGAGCTTGAGTCTCATGACCATGGTTAGGGCGCGTATATCGCCTAGGATGGATAACTGGACATAGGTGTTGTTCCATGGTAGGTCTAGGTACTCATGTCCACCCTAGGGTGCGTATTCGCATGTTGCCTTCTATTCAGGCTGAGACAAACCTACTGGACTAGCGAGCGTCCTATAGTGTGTACTATATACATATATTGACTACTCTAGATATTGTTGAGTCTTCCTAGGATGTATCTGCGTATCGGATTACTGTTTGGATTGTAGTAGATCATGACTTGCATGTGGGCCTGACCCACTTCTTTATTTTTCAGGTGCTCGTCAGTTCCAGGGTTAGAGTTTGGACGTGCAGAGCAGATACATCTATTCACTCCTCCGATTATGTAGGAATTTTCTCTATGTTAGCTTTGGATTTTGTTTTTATTATTTCAGTATCGTTTGGAGAATTTAAATAAGGGGTCCAATGGATGGATTCCCGAGTTGTAAACTGATGGAGTTTTGGAGTTTGGGTTTGATGGATTTTAATAATTATCATATTTTGCGGATTCTGTTTTTAGTTCTTTTCAGCTTTAATTTCATTTCTTAATTCATTTTGTATTCCGTGTTCATTATAAATACTTTAATTGTTTGATATTCCCTCGGGCTCGGGCCTGGGCCTGATCAACCCGTGTCTCGGATCTGAGGGGTATCACAGTTGTAACTTGTTGGCTAGGAGCTTTGCAATGCATTTACAAATGGTGTTACAACATGATATAGGCCTGTAGTCATTGATGGTGGTTGGGTTTTGACACTTAGGGACTAAAGAGATATAGGTAGAATTAACTTCACCTAGTAGCTTACCATTCCTGAAAAATTCAGAGATGGCTTTAATTGTTGATCTTCCAATGATAGCCCAAGCTTGATGAAAGAACACGGCATTAAAGCCATCAGGGCCTGGGGATTTATCCCTATTTAGAGAGAGCATACAGGATTGGATCTCATGGTAGGATGGCATGGACTCCAAAATACTGTGGAAATGGGGAGGGACTGACTTTGTGATGAATCTTGAGAGCTCAGCCTGAGTATGTGTGATTAGAGGACTTGTTCCAAACAAATTTTGGAAGTGGGAGACAATTTCTTGAACAACTACATTTGTATCATTAAGGATGAGTCCATCAGCATTAGTTAAACTGTAGATTTTTCTCTTGTTCACCTTTGAAGCAATGGACTTATGAAAATATGAAGAGTTTGAGTCCCCAAGTTTAAGCCAAACCATCCTGGATTTTTGCCTTAGCATACTTTCCTGGAGCTCTGAGAGTCTAGTGTATTCTTTGGTAAGTGAGAGATCAAGCATTCTAAGGGGGATGTTACTTGTAGATAGATCAAGATCATGTTGACATGAATCCAGTTCTGTCTTGACTGCTTGTATCTTAGATGCCATTTCAGAGAAATCCACCTTGCAATTGGTTTTGAGGATGTGCTTTAGAGACTTGAGCTTTTTCACTACTTGGAACATTGCAGTCCCAGGAATGTAGTAATTCCAGGCACTTTGAACTGAAGGTAGAAAAAGGGGATGAGAGCACCAAGCATTGAAGAACCTGAAAGGAAGACACCTCTTGGGGGAGTTAGTGTCAATTGTAACAAAAATAGGGCTGTGATCAGATACTCCAGGGGTGAGGAAGGTGCATTCTAATCTTGGGAAGGTTGTGTTCCATTGTTTGTTGATGAGGGCTCTGTCAAGCTTCTTGGTAATGCATGCTGAGCCCAAACTTTTGTTATTCCAGGTAAAAAGGATCCCATTATACCTGAGGTCTTCAAGTTCAGCCTGCTGTAAGCACTTACAGAAGTCATTAATGGCTTGGTTCCATCTTGTTGAGCCTCCATTTTTCTCTCCTGAGTTGGAAATGGTGTTGAAATCTCCCAGGATTAACCAAGGAGAGTTGCAAAAGAATGTTGATTGATGATTGATGTCATTCCATAGGGAGAGTCTTTCCACTGCATAGTTAGAACCATATATGAAGGAAGAATAAAATGTAATATTTTGGCCTATAATGGAGATGGAGCAGTGTATTGCTTGCTTAGTTGTACATACAACATCAAGGTCAATGGTATTGGGGTTCCACATAACCCAAATTCTACCAAGTTGAGAGAAAGGGTAGTTGTGAACCAGTGGCCAATAAGATGCAATTCTGTTGTGGACAGTATTCACATTTGTTGGTGATATTTTGGTTTCAATGATAGATAGGATATCTAATTTTTTCTCAGAGATCAGCTTCCTGATCTCAACCTACCTAAAGGGTTGATTTAACCCTCTAATATTCCATGCTAAGATGGAAATCATTGAGGAGTTGATGAGGTTGATGGGCTTGGATACCTGTGATCCTTGGAGGATTCATTGGGTATCAAACCTGGACTGTGACTTTTGTTCCTTCTTGCTTGTGATTTCATACTTCTAACTGTGGACCTTCTTGTTGCTGGACATGAAGCACTGTGGAGAGCAGGTACCCTTGAGACACTGAGGTGAGCTTGATCCCTTGAAGCACTATGGTAAGTATGGTGTGTGGGAGTAGATAGGGCTTGCATGGGAGACTTAGAAGGAGTGGCAGTTGGTGATATGTGGGTTGTGGAGGGGGAAGGTAGATGTGGAGAGGGTGAGCATTGGTTGGAGTAGCTTAATTTTTTGCAACATAGGGGGGATGGATGAGCTCTCATAGATACCTTTGCGGATTCTAATCTTAAGTGCTGAGATGTGGTTGGTGCAGTAGATTTTCCATGTGGTTTGGGGTGATTAGTGTGGAGTTGGGGAGCTGGTGAGGGAGTTGGGGATACATGTGATGGAGAAGGGGAGGTGTATTGGTTTAACTGTTGGAGGGGGGAGAATTGGTTGGTGGTTTGAATGACCTCTGCATTGGCTTTCCTTGCTTCCTGTTTTCCTTTTTTCCTGATGGTTATCCAATCATTGGAGGGGCAGTTTGTGTAACGACCCGGATTTCTCAACCCGGTGCGTTAGTGATGAATTGGAAGTTGACCCGATAACGGACCCGAAATGCGGAAGCGAAAGAAGCCAGATGACCTCAAGAGATGTACGTCATCCCTAAGGCCCCAAAGTGACTCTCCATGAAGCCACGGAACTCAAATGAGCCAAGCAAATGAAGCAAGAATGCCTAACCCGAAAAGAGATGAACTAAGGGCAAAATGGTCATTTCTCACTGAAAAGGGTGCCACCGTGCACACCATTAGAAGGACAATGAAAAATAAACAAAATTAGACTCAAGAATCGTCTGATTCTGAGTCCGGGCAGAAAAGATATGAAATTCCAACACCCGATGCAAAAGTTATGAAGTAATGACTTAGCATTTTCCAATATTTTCATAATAAACTTTGAAAACAAAAGTGCATAGAAAACGAGATACATGTCATTGGCCTCCGGCTTCATCTCATACGTGTTAAATACATTGAAAAGAGTGCACTTATATACACTTTACATATACGAATCAACGAATACAAGTTTAAACAAATAGGGCTACAAAGAGGCATCTTATGCTAACACTTGCATAAAATAGAAACTTAGAAACTGTAAGCCATCCAAGGAGCAATGGAATCTTCAAATCCTGAGTCCTGTACCTGAAATATGCCGCAGTATCGTAGGGGTGAGTAACATAAAGCTACTCGTAGGAGATGAGCATGCATCGACCTAGCATTTTACAATTTTATCACCTTATGGTGAAACATGTTAAAGGGGCTCATGCCACCTGACGTCTATGTCAAGATGAGACCCAGGGAGCATCCTAAGCTACCTAGATCATTTATATCATAATCATATTGTTTATGCAATTCAAATAACATGGAAACATGTTATGCAAGGCAACAAGATATAGATTCTCAAAGTCTTCAACTTGAAATCCAAAATACGAAAACAACAAGTGTGGGTCATGCCACCTAGCGTCTATGTTCAAAATGAATCTATAAGGTTATTCGTAAACTACATTTGAACATCAAAACACAAATTATGATATCGATGCAATTTAACCAACAATGAAACTTCCAATACAACGCATGAAGCATGCTTTCATAAAGCTACATCTTAAGCTCAAAATAGGAAATCAAATAAGGAACAACAAGTTACGATATCATCTAGTTATCAACTTGAAATGAAATACGAAATCAAACAAAGTGGATACTCGGACGTCACGCCGGATCAGACCGACAACATAGTTACTTTAGGGTTACTAACCTATGGGTAACCTCCCTATGTGCGCACTAGACTGTACAGAGGGATAATCTTCCGTATTAGAACCAAGTCCTAGCCGTAACCAAACAACGACATCCCCAAGTTTCCAAAATCAACAAATTGTGCAACAACGTATATATATCAACATGTATATACAAGATATCAACTATTTACCAAGCACAATCCAAAATTTGGAAACTTATACAATACATGTTCAAAATTTACAACTACTATGGCATGTAAGATGCAAATACAAAGTGTGCAATTCCTTACACATAGCAACAATATATTCAATAAGGAAAAACATATTCTTATGAATATAAAAGTAACAACTATGTTATCCAATACTCAAAAGTAATCAAGTGAATATGCATCAAATCCAAATCCATGATTTAAATATAGAAACAACTTCCAAAATGCAATTAAATCCATGGAGTAATAAAGTAGAATTTAATTAAACATAAATAGTTAAATTCTCTAAATTCTAAGTTAATCCAAATAACCTCAATTTAATATATATTGAAAGACATGTCATGGTCATCATATATATAACATTAAATAACAAGTTAAGTGATTAAAATACTTAAAACAAAATTAATCAAGCTAATTAATTAATTTTCTCTAAATTTTTAAACAATTCCAAATGTCCTAAATTTAATCTATGTTAGAGAACATGCCAAGACCTATTTAAATACCACATTACAACTTGATTTAATGCTTGATACAACCATGTGAATTAAACTTTTACTAAAGATAAATATTAAATAAAAGTTGTAATTCTTAATCAAATGATGCAAATTTAATATATGTTAACCAACATATCTAAGCATAATTTCCTATCATGTTACAATTCAAATCAAAGTTATACATCATCATAAATTTTAAATCTTATACAAAGAAATAAAAATTACTAACTTTCTAGATTTGATACAAGGCATACATAGATGTTGTATAATTATGGTAAACACACAATATAACACACAAATAATCCTAAAACATTCCCTACCTCAATTGGAATGAAAATCCCAATTACCACCGAAATGAAATCGCCCCAAATTTTCGATCCACAAAATAGATTTTTCAGCTTGCTACGTTCAACTTGTAAAATTCATAAAAAATTCAATTCCAAACCAAATTGAATGAATCCAAAGCCCAATGAAAGCTTAAACACTGTAATTTGATAATATAAATTTAGTTTAACAAAATATTTTCCCAATTGAAACAGTTTTGACCCACAACTTTGAAACAAATTTTGCCCAGAAAACACATATTCAGCTTGTAGCTTCCAATTTTGAAAATTCATGAAAAATTCATTTGACATCCAAATTGGGCAAACCTAATTTATTTTGGAAGTAAACATATGAAAGTGTAAAACTAGAAATTTAAACCATGATCCAATGTCAAAAGGTTAGTGAAATAAATCATCTAAAAATATATTTTCTAGCTGCAATAAAAACATGGATAACAGATAGTTTCGGATTTAAAAAAAAATTTAGAAATGCTCTAAAATTGTGCAAAAATTATGAGTAGTGTTAAACCCATGGGGGAAGTTCCAGAAAAAATTTCAGGGCAATTGAAGCACCACAACTCCATATAAAAATTCATTTCCGGACCAAAAAGGAAAAGCTTTAAATTTCCACAGCAACTAGCTTGCAATTTCAAAAATTCATAACTAATTTATTTTAAATCCAAATTACATGAAACCAAAACTAAATGAAAGCTAATTGAGTATATTTTCATATTTTATATTTAATTTGACAAGATTAATTTCAAGTTAAAATAGTTTAAGGGTAAAATACAAGTCCTTCTCTTCCATGCATGTAAAATACTCAATAATGACATAAAAATACTTCAAAATAATAGATCAATACCTCACTAGAGAATTGAATTTGTAGATACCAAAGTAAAACTGGAGTTAGGCTAGATCCTTCAAGGGTTTTGAAGAGGAGGATGAGGGGAACGAAAAGTATTCCAAGCTTTATGGTCTAAAGTAAGTGGAAGGGCCTCAAAGATCAAGGTCAATGCCTAAGGCTTCAAGCTCCATCCATGGAGGCTAGGGTTTTCTTGTAAGGAAGAGAATGAAATAATGTGGTTAAGTTTGAGTGGAGGAAATAGAAATCCTCCACTCACTATGTGCTCTTACACTATGGTCAACACACACATCTATGGTTAATTGCATAAAAATCCTCCTTTAAAACCATAATCCCAAAGTAGCCCAAAGATATTTGCAAGACTAAATTGTGAACCTACACTTGTCACCAATCCATGGCTCCTTCCTAGGCTTAATCCCACACATACACTTGTCAACCATCCAAGCCAACAAGTGCATCAATCCTAGGCCAACAAGTGGGTGAATCCTCACCCTCTAAATGTCATCATCCAATGCATTAAAGTGTTTCTACACAAATGTCAACAAGTGGACTAATGAGAGTGTGACACTTGTCACACTTTTCAAAAATTGTAAAAAGATCCTTTTTGAAAATATCCTCCAAATTTAATTGCAAAATGGTCCCCAAGATGAAAAATAATTACTTTATTTAATTACACTAAAACCCTACAAGTTAAGAATAATTACATTAAAGTATGCATTAATGTCCCTTTATAAAAGAAGAAACCAATCAACATGCTTTTCTAAAAAAGTAGAAATACCACTATCATGGAAATCAAATATCATGAATGCCTGCAAAACCGGAATCAAATCCGAACACAAAAAGTGAGGTTGTGCAAGGAAAAATGATAAACGAGAAAAAGACAAAATGTGAATAGTGTTCAGAAAAATAAAATATAGAAATGACATAATCTCCAAAGGAAGTTGTCAATCCAAGGAAAGAGTCTCGGAAATCATTTTAGAGCACTCGAGACGACATCAAGTGATGAAAAACCAAACCCAAAAA